GAAATGTAGATTTATAAGTTCCCAGCTGGCATGCCTGCTCTTCACTGCTTTAACTGCTGGCATAACTGCTGAGGAAAAAGAAAAACTTTCAAATAATTTTTTTGTAGTTAGATAGTTAGGGAAAGGCAGAACTGCCTTGTAATTCCCACTGGCAAGCTGAAGGCTGCAAGGTTGCCTCTGGGGACACCTAGACAGGCAAAATGATCACTAACAATGTGACTGTTTCCTTGACAGATGTGAAAATGTTTACCCAGAAAGTAACAGTAACTTTCTGGATTCTGCATTCATTTAAACAGTGATTAAGAATGTAGTAGAAGCTGCAAGCTGATGGATTTCTTGCACAAAGCAAGGATGAAAATAAGCCTATTAGTAATTTTCCTTCTACTCTGAGAGTTCAGAGAAGCTGGATTTAATTAGTTTAAGTTTCTTCAACTGGGAAATTGCAGTCAAGAGTGTTTATCTTTTTAAATCAGGGATATTGAAGATCTTATTCAGGTCTTCACTGCTAGGAAGGATCGTTTTATGAAGAACCTAAGCTTTCAAGGCACTGTTAAAACAGGTTAAAATTCTAGTTTGAGCAAGAGAGTTTTTTGCAGTGTTTGGAGTAGGGCATAACACTCACTCACATATATGAAAGAACACTGGCAAAGAAGAACTACTGTAGTCAAGCCATGAGCATTATAAATCTTCATAAAAAAAAAAAGAACACCCAAAAGCAACAACTTGAAGCCCACTGCCACTATAAATATTGCTGACTAAAAGTTGTAAAATGAATAGAAGTAAAACACGTTCTATTCAGAAGCCAGATATGAGAAAAACAATTCAAGAGGACAGCAGAGCTTTGCTGGAGCATTTTGGTGATTGAGCATGAAGGCATCCACTTGAACAAGTTTTCTAATTGCAATAGAGGCCAGAAATGGCCCCTCAATAAAACAGATCATTAACTTGTTTGATGAGGAGGAACTGCGGTGTGCAAGAAAACATAAAGTAGGTGTGAAGGGTAGAAAATGAATTGGTGAAACTGAAGGTAAGACAGGATATAATGACATTCAGATAAAAGGTAATCAGGTTTTGCAAACTTGGTTGTTTGCAGTGCTTCATGATATCCTATGAGATGGCATTTCTATATATTTTGTATATCTGTTCCAAATTGTTGTCACATGTTTTTCTGAGGCAACAACAGATCCAGCCCATTGTCTCCCGCCCTGGCAATCCCCAGGCAAACATAGACTGAAGGAAACCAAACTGTTGTCCCTCCAGGGTATAGAAAACATCCAATATGGCTCGGCCTCCTCTACAACAGCTCCTTTCTTTGTTTCAATATACAAAAAAAAAAAAAAAAAAAGAAAAGAAAAGAAAAAGAAAACAGCCAAATGCTATACACTTCAACATAAATCGGTATCATGATTTTTACTGCCACTTATGTCATAAAAGATTTTCCTATATTATAAAGCCTTACAACAGTGAACATCATGAATTACTCAAGCCAAGTCAACAGAGTTATTCTATGAAAGGTACATATATACTGGGTGTGCCTCAGGGTGCTTTCACTGATTATGTTCTTAAATGTTAATGGTTACATGGCATAAAATTTAACTGATAGATATGATCTTGTGCTATGATAGTTACTTGGAGGCGTTGTCTAATGAATTTTAAATGGATGAATTAAAATTCATTAAATATTGACACTGGAAATAATATATGCCAGCTAAAAATCTCTGGCTGTTTATAATAGGAGTTCAGAAAGTTAATGGAGCCTGCAGGTTATTTTCTGAGGTTTATAGAGAACTCTCTGGCCCACTTGCTGAATGCTTCACTAGAGACCAAGGGAAATTTTTCTTCATGCTTTTACTAATGAGATTGCTGTGAGTTTACTCAAGTTTGGTTGAAAATGAAAAGGAGGTAAACAATATTTCTTACCTGAAAAAAAAAACCACGTGAATTACCCAATGAAATGACAAGATGACAACTGTACATAGAGACTATTGTATTTCTTAAAATCTGCTACAGTCTGTTGCTCTCACTCTTTGCTGTAGGTGTAATTATTTTCTGTGATATGCATTTAAACTGCCCAAATTTCCAGGACTTTGACAATTTGCATTAGATAAGCTTATCTCCTGCTGAAGCAAAAGGCACTTTGAAGACATTAACTGCGTTTTGGTGAGTACAACCTTTGTCATTAAGTGAACTGCTTAATGCTTTCATTGGACACACCTTTTTTCTTTCCTGACTATACAGTATGAATTGAGGGCTGTGTTCGAATCCCTCTCTCCTCTCGGATTAACTTGCCACAGTCTAACTCCGTAGATAAGGTGGTGCCAGAGGTGGAGTTGGACGGATGGGTTTGCTTACACTGAAGTCCGTAAAAGAAACAAAAGGCCTTGCATGCAAGAAAAAAAAAAATGATAAAATGAATAAATGAGAGAAGTAGAATTAAAAACAAACATGAGAATGAGATTCAAAAGCTATTTAAATCAAAAGAGACTCTATTTATGGAAACATAAAAGTCATAGATTGTATGCAAATCATGCTTTGGATTAGCTTAGTGATAATATATGCTGTGCAGCATTTTCTGTCTAAGCTTCTTATATCACCAGTGTGAAAATAAAGCAAAAAGAGAGAAACCAGAAAATAACACTGAAATCACCAGAATTTTCTTTCTTTGAAATTACTTTCACAGAAAAAAATCTGCAGTACTCATATATTATGTTGTCACATTAACATATTTAAAGATTTCCATTATTAGAATCAGCAACACATCACTGTGAAACAGTAGCAGTTTCACTACATACAGACACTGTATATTTATATATTCATCCAACAAATTGCTAAATAATTTAACAATCTCTCATGATATAAAACTTTAGGTCTATTTTAATTATGATTTCAAGGGTACATTGCCTTTCCCAGGCTCCTGAATTGTTCCAAAATATTCTGCACCACTTTAGTGCCTGTACTATGCATTTTCTGCAATAGTGCTCCAAAATTTATTTGAATAAAAAACTCCTTAGTCTTTAATTTGATCTCCATATATTCGTTACTCATTTTGTGCTAGAACTGTTCTATAAAGTTTACACAGTAACCAGAAAGTTGCAAGATGAGCAAAATGCATCCATCCTTTCTCTCTGACTTACTCCCAAACAGGGACACCTTGATCAATAAGGCGTGCAAAATTGTCTGCCTGAGTTACATCCTTTGTTTGTACACATTGCTTTTAGTGAGGGCTTGATCAGGGGCATGCAGAGTAGTCTGCACAGTCATGAGCTGCCCTCTTCTGCAGGTCACCATGAAGACTAAGCCCAATCAGTGACTGTGGCATTAGGTCCCAGGGACCCACAGTAACATCAAGAGTCATTTGGAAAATGAAGATACCTGGTAAGATTCAGGTCACTGCCTTCTAGCTGTCTGATCAGTGGGGATGTAGACTTAGCTACTTGTGACTGCAAGGAGATACAGGCATAGAACCACAGAATACCCTGAACTTGAAAGGATCCACAAGGATCATTGAGCCCAAATTCTGGCTCCATACAAGACCACTCCAAATTCAAACCCTAGTCTGGGAGGATTGTCCAAAACCAAGACCATGACTGCTGTCCTAGGGAGCCTGTTCCTGTGCCCAGCCATTCTCTCGGTGAACAGCCCTTTCCTAATCCTCAACCCTCCCCTAATACAGCTCCATGCTGTTCTCTCAAGTCCTATTTGCTGTCACCAGAGAGAGATCAGTGCCTTGACATCACTGCAGGGTGGTTCATTCCATCAAAAATCCAATGTTTAAAAATGAGGCACTGTCCTCTCCAGGCCCTCAGCTGTGGCTGCTTGCTTTGACTTAGATATGAAACCCTCTCATGTCTCAGCATCAGTACAGTGTAAACTACATCTATGAGGTAGAGTTCAGAATGTTCTCCTCTTTCCACTCATCCCTTATTTTTCTTGACCGCCTTTTCTGTCATTTATGTCATCAGTTTTGTAGGACTACACCTTGGAGGGAGAAGATGAACTGCTGACTGAAAATCTCTTGCCTTTCCTGTCTAAGTGCAAACTGAGCTTAAACAACCTTATAGTGTATGTCTGAAATTAGGTGATACAAACTGATGACTGTCTCAGTGTCTACCAAGCCTGCAGTGCAACATGACCATCATTCCTATGAAACATCCTGTTGAAGTGAACAGGACAAGAACATCTTTAGCAGTTGATCCAAACAGGGCCAAACTAGGGTGTAGGACATTGCCAGCAACAGACCAGAACCAGGGAAGGTAGTCAGAGCAAGAGAGTTGGTAGACAGCTTCATGAATAGACTCTCAGTGGCTGTATGTATTTTGTTTCTTTTACTGTGTCTGTCTCAGTAAATGGGTGTTTACACCCTATTTTAAAGGTAGATTCTATTTCACAAGCTTCTGTTATATTGAAGATGTGATTTATACGTAACATTTTCTTTGTTTCCTCTCACTGTTTTCAAATCACTCATTACACTTCAGTGGAGATATATCCTGAAATTGTTTGGCTCCATAATCTTACTTTGCTGTGGCATCTATCACCTTTCAGCAGGTTTCCCTGCTTTGAAGTGCATGCTTCAGCACAGAGTGTGTAAACACATGGCTGTGAAAGAAATGCTTTCTAGAGCAAGAGAAAAATTACACTAGGGATTTGGAAGTACATTCCTGTTGTTACTCAAGAGCTGATTTTAATGCCATTAAAAAAAAAAAAAAAAAAAGGGTTCTGTTTTATTCCTTTGCAAGATAATTTATACTCTAAATCTTAAAGATCAAGCTAAAACAGTTTGAGAAATTAATTGCTCTTGTTCTGCACTGCCATATTAAACAGCACTAATTGGACTGTGGGTGAGTTGCTTCCCTATTCTTATTAAGAAATTATTTCTCTGTAGTGCTAGAAACAAATGGTGAGCGTTCAGCAATACAAAATCTGCACTCCAGCAAAGAGACATAATGCAGTCACCACAGATCTCAGCAGAAACATCAGCAAGCTGGAAAAGGATGGCTTACCTGCTCAATATCACTGTTTTTCCTTGATTTATAAATAAATTCACCAATGGCTACGAAAACTGAAAGAACAAGCCCAGCAGCGAGCACTATGAAGATGCCCCCAATATTCTCTACCCCAAGAGCACTGGCTTCTTTGCTGTCCTCTTCAGGGCAGCCGTTGCCTCGCCACCACTTTTCCTTCATCATGTGGAGCTTCCCCTCCTCCTGGAGCTGGAGGATGGCAATGGTGATCTTGTCCCTGTAAGGTGACCCTGGAAGATGAGAACAGGATTTGTCAGTGCTGATTGCAGCAAAGTAAAGGTAGAGAAAGAGCACGTTGCTGCTATCTGGAGCAAAACGGCCCCTTGTTACAAGACTGAATTATTCCAGCTAGAAATTCTTGTGTTCTCTTCAGCTGGAGGAGGACGGAGTACCAACAAACTGTTGGCATCTGCCCTGGGGACTAGGAAACAGAAGGCTCCTTTGGTGTTGTTATTTGTTTGGAAATTCGTGTTGTTTTCTAGGGTCTCCTACTGAGGTTTATTTAAGACTTGGCAGTGGGTTTGCTTGCTAAATAACCCCTCTATATCATGTCTGAATATTGCTTTAAGCATCCTTTGAGACTTTCCACTTTACATCTCTTCTATTTACTTCAACATCTGTTTATTTTTCCTACTGCATGAAAAATGAGTAACTGTCTAAGAAAACCCACAGCCAGTCAAATGCATTTTCTTCTCATTTGTACCTTCATATGCCCACAACTCCACTTCATCTACCTTAGAGCTGATAAGAACACAAGCTGGACTAGTCCTTTTTTTCCGTGACTTGCAATATTATTGGCACTTCAAGCTGAAAATAGCATATATTTAATGCTTTTTATTTTCAGGCCAACAGCTTGCTAAATGATGCATTTTCAGCTCAACATCATTAATGGCCCTGTACAGTATCTGGCAAATAGTGGGGTCACATTGGGCAGTTCAATCTGTTTAGATTTGCTTCTCATGCACTGGTCTAGCTCTCCATCTTCCAAAATCTCTGTTGTTCAGGATTCAGTTCAGCCAGCAGCTCTAACAGATGCACAGATCTGTAGCCTCAAAGCGGGACAAGGGAAAGGTTTGCCCCTCATCCCACTTTTGGAACACAGCACTGTTAAAAGAATTTACTATCAATTAACCTTTTCAGTGCTGCCAGAAGCTGAAGTTGTCAACGATAGCAGCAATCCTGTTATTAATTATAAAAGATAAACAGAAGTTGTTTTTGGCATTGTAAGGGAGGCTTTTGTTTATAGGGCAAGGATTTTATGATAGCAAGCAGGAGAGGATTACAAGAAAATCTGTTTGGCTCTGAAGACATATATGTGCCCCCAACCTCTGTCATGCTGGAATTCCTGCAGTTGGAAGCTTTAAGTGTCTGGGCTGAAATACAGCCAGTGTCACCAGTCCTTCGTCCATGTAACTAACTGCCATCCTTCCCTCTCCTTTAGCACATTAATGAGACTATTCCCCTCTAGCTAGAATTTCACAATGAATCACATTTTGCCTCAAGTTAAAGCAGTTGCAATTCTTGCCTTCATCAAGATGAATAAAATTCAAGGCAGAAGGTGTGCCCAGAGTTTCAGTGATGTCAGGGTACATGTGGATGTGGACACAGGAAAATCTCACTAAGCACCACTTTTGTGTCTTCATATATCTAAACAGCCTGGGAAATTTGGCCTTGGTTTCACTTTTCATTCTTACACTGTCGTGTAAGACACTATTAAAAATAATTGTACCATGAATGCAAGTCCCTTTTTCTCTTTCCATTTCCTTTAGCCTGCAGCACTGTCTGAGGAGAGTCAGTGCAAAAAATACAGCAGTACTCTGTTGTGCCAACACTCGGCTATTTTTCAGTGTACCCTACTGCCAGCAATAGGACATGCTGTGACCACAGATGCCAAGAGACATGTGTCAGATTATACGAAGTCCATCTGGGAAGCCAGCAATCAGCAGCTACTGCTTTGGAAAGCCAGCTCTGAAAGGAAAATATGCCGGCTGTAAGAATAGATGATTTCTATGCATGCTATTAAAGAGCCAAAAATAAGCACAGCAGAAAATGAAACACTTACAAAACTGTCTTTACACGGAGAAGTGAATTATTACCACCAAAAACAACAACACCTTCTAGAAGAAAAAGCAAAATTATTTCTACCTTAGGAGAGGTTTGTCGCCCTGATGGCTGGAGTTTGTTATATTGTAGGTATCATCTATTTTCCCTTGTCTGAAAGAACAGAGCAGCTAGGCAAAGCGAAGCAGCCTGAGTCATGGCACAATATTTGTGGGGATGTTCATTCTTCTTGTGATGTTTTTGTTGCCAGCAGGATCATCACATTTCATCTTGAGGGTAGAAGGTACCTATCTATATTTCTACATATGCTTTTGAAGTTCATCAAGTGTGCCTGTATTGCTGGATTAGTGATGTTTTATTGGTGAGCACTAAAACTGCACACAAATCCAACTCAAGACCCCTTTGAATATTCAGCATAGCATTTATGGCCACTGAGCTATTAACAACCTACCTCTTGGGACAAGAAATAAATCCACATACTTTCTTAGCAATCTCCCAAGTAACAGCTTTAGTGTTAGATTTACTTGCATCAGCACTGGCAGTAATACTGGAATACCTATCCTGACACCTATAATAGCATTGCTTTCTTGAGCTGGATTCCTCCCAGGGTGACATTTGTATAGGTTTTGCATAGAGGTGCCTCTGTTACAGCACTGCTTCCAGACTGCAGCAAGCTGACCATCAACCATCACAGCAGATTTTTCATCAGTACTGATCTTTGCCAAGAATCTAATGAAAACCCTCCTTCCTGTGACCCAGGGCTCACTAATAAGCATAAACAGAGGTGTCTGTTCATCCACCTGAATTTCTGCCTTCCTAGCTCAGCACACTGAAGAACGAAGACAGCTTATATCTGCAGTTTTCTACTCGCAGAGTTGATATTCCCTGGATTCATAGATGAATTGTTTCCTTGGGAACCAAATGGTGATGGTATTCTGCTCATTCACTGGAAATTTTGGAGTGCAAGGCATGCTTTCGCTGCTGCAAACCATAACCATGTGGTTGTAGATTCTCCTGAAGGAGTGAATGCAGGTTCAGACTTGTTGAAACTTTGGTGTTAAGATCATAGGTAAGTCTTGTTTTCAGTGCAGCTTCTGCAGTGCAATTGTTTTGAATGCTGTGAGAGACTGACGGAGGCTATGGGGTTTATGTGAATATTATGAAGATCTAAACACTTCACCTTATCTGTGAAATCAACTTTTTAAAAGCTTAAGAAGCTTGATTACACTGCAGTATTCCCAAGTGCTTAGAGGTATCTATTCCCCTAAATTTTGCTGGTTTTCCTTAAGAAAAAAAGATCAAGGCACATTTATCATACGAGAAACATCTTATAAATATATTTCACAGCTGTATTTCCAATGGATGCACTCTCTCCGAGAATTGCCATCTGTTCCAATTATTCCTTCATTGTTCTTGGTTTAAAGTGTGGCAGCTTTATAACTGCAATGAAACTTGCCATTCGTTTGTCTTTATTTGGGGATATTTTAACATTTGTACCATTTTCCGTAAGGACAGAAAGCTATCCTCATATAGACAGTAGAAAAATATACTTACAATATTATCTGTGTGACAATCTGAGGTGCTCAGTGACATAAAGGATTCCATTTCAAAGTGCAGTGGTATTTTTTTTCTCTTATTTATATCTGATCTACCAAGCAACTAATGGACCAAATACTTCACCTATTATAAACTCTAGTTAATTCCCCTGAAGTCAATAGAATTGTGTAACTATTAATTGAGTGAGGCAATGTAAATGTATATGTGAGCAGTATGGAGAAGTATATAATGCAAGAAAAAAATCTGGTTGCCTAGTCTCCATTATTCACAAGAAGACAAACACAAACACAAAACAAGCAAAGAGAAAAAAACCACGTTATGTAATTCTCTGCAATTAAAAAAATCTTGTAAAGGACACTGAGTATGCTAAAACTCTGCTGGAAAGAGTTCACAGAGCCTGGGAATCTTAAGCTCTGCTTATCTTGAAACACTGAAGTCCCTGATGCAGAGGCAGAACCTTGCAATTGCTTCTTATTGTTCTTATGTGCATCTCTTGAGTCTCAAAATAGAACAGAAATTGGTCTCTTTTCGTACTTTTTTTCAGTGTGTATGTTGGACACAACATTTGTTGTCCCCCCCTTCCACCTTCCCTGAGACTACTTGATTTCACAAAAGCAAGTGATAATTCAGTAGTGCTACTTGGATTTAGAACAGAGCAGCAGAGGGGACACCCTGTTTGTCACAGAGGGGATGCTCCAGAAGGCAAGCAGGTTACTTGACTGTGCTCTGCTATATTCCTTATTGGCTACAGAGGCTGCTTGCAGATAAGTGGATGCAAGAGGAGACCTTTTGCCTTAAAAGAGACTCCCAGAGTATGTTTTGATGAAAATATTTTCTAAAAGAATAGGGCATCATTCAGATAATCATCTACACATCTGTAGAGGACATTGCTGGGTGTGCTCCACATCACCTGTGCTGGAAAACATCTTACCAATAGGAGTTCCCACACCATAGCCTTTCGAATCGATGAGTCCCCCGATCTGAGTGAGGTTGCAGTTTCTCTGAGTCACATACTCAATGCTAGTGGACTCCATCAGCAGCGCGTAGTCTGTCGTGAGCACACGCTGGATTCCCTCATCATTGTTCTTCACCAGCGCTGTCTGCTGCCTGCTGCTCATGAATGCCCACATCTTCTCATATGTTGATATTTTGGATTTCTAAGAAGGAAAAATGAGGACACAGAATCACACCAGCGCTCAAATTACACCTGTAAACATTTCCTCCACCTCGATAGGCCCTATCTTTTGGCTTGTTGTGAATGATGTCAGTAGCATATCTTGAATGAAAGAATGGTTTTCCTTCCTGCAGCCTTTCACTCTCACTGGGCTTTATGCTTCTTCTGCTTCCTTTGCAGTGCCAGAAACTCCGTTACTGGCACAACCGTGAAGTGCTTTGAAGTTTTTTGGGCTAATGCTGTTACATGGATTACAGCAAATAATTACACATAACCCAGCAAATTAGTGCAGCTGGATACTCTTGTACTCAGTATTGGGGTTTCTGCCAGTCAGGGTGAGTGCACTCTTCCAAAAGCCTGAAGATGAGTAAAGCACTGGCTCTTTTATATTGATATCATTGCCTAAAAGTCATGTACATCAAGGATAAAGCTTGACAAGCAAACCTAAAGTGGCTTCTAAGCAAAATTCTGCTTTCAGCTTTCCATTGCAATCAGAATTAAGGACCTAATCCTTCTCCCACTGAAGTTTGGGGAATTTTTGCCATTGGCCTCAGTAGGAGTGTGCACATGGCTTGTGTCAATACCCAGTGGCACAGGGAAGAGGGGTGCCAAAAGTCACAGCTGCCTGAATGCAGTGCTGGACATCCCTTCCTCTCCACTCCACTCCCTGTTCTGTGTGAGCATCCTACAAAGGTCCTCACAGGGTGTGAAAAGACAAACTGAGCCTGCTCAGCGTTCTCAGGGGCACTGTGCCTGCTACCCTCAAGAGGTGCTATCTGCAATCCAAAAATCTTCAGGCAGTTGCACAGTGCTAACACAATTAAACCTTGCTGTTCTGTGTGCTGTCCAAACCTACTGAGCACAGTGTCACTTCTGGATGAAACAGCATGTTAGACCTACAGGAAGTTGGACGATTAGAAACTGTTTGACTCAAGATAGCATAGCTAACCATTACTGAACTATTTTGTGCCACTACCTAGCATGAGCCAGACACACACAAACCAAATTTTGGTGTAAATGTGAGCTCATGGTCCCCTCCATGTATGCACTTCCCCAGTTCTGGAGCAGTATATTCTCAGCTCCTTCACTGTCCCTATCTTTGGTTTGAAGCCATCACAGCTGATTTTAGGCTCACTGTGTTGGAGACCACAAGCACTCATTAAATACTGGTGTTTGGGAGATTCCTGTGAGCAGCTGATTTTCTGGTTCTTTGATCTTTAAATGCTAATATGATTTCCTGTAAATTCAATACCTGTGGATTTCACCTAGGTTTCAACCAAGAATTTAAGTCACTGGATACCAGTAAGCTTTGAAGATGGTTAAGTGGCTTTTTGCAAGTAGAAGGCATTTGTACTGCTCAGCTGGGAATACTTTTGGAAACTGATGATACATTTATGCAGTAAATTGAATCTGATATTGAATTTACTGGAAAGATGTATTCCTTATTCAGATAAGTTTGATAGAAAGATCTCAGCTTCTTAGCAACTTGATTCAACTGGCTTCTCATTGATTTAAGTGGAAAAATGTCTGCATATCTGGAGGTGGGACCTGGCAGGACTTGTAAGTTGAGATTAATTTCTATTATCACAGAGAGGCAAGAAAGCAATGGAAGATTTATAGTATAGATGCATTGGATTTTGCCCAAATTTGTGTAAAGGGCTGGGAGGCTGACTCTGGGGTTCCTTTAAAGCCAAGAGTCTCTTGTCTTCCACAAATAATTTCAATTGCTTTTGTTTTCATTGCCCTCAATACCTGGTTAGAAAGCATAGCCAATGCAGGAACATTTTTGAAAATATTGCCTCTTTAGCAAGAGTTTGTCTAGAGAGACTATTCACAGCTGGGATACAAGCTCTCAATCCTTTATGGCAAGGATGCTTTCTCTTAAACGATGTCATAAGGCACACACAGAAACACCTACCTCTTATGTCTCCTTCTGACTATTGGGTTTTACATCCTCCCAGCTCTCTCACTGCTGTGCCTGTGGCTGTGTGTGTGCTTACTCAGCTCCAGAAATATATGCAGCATTTTACAGTACAAGGGAGGCAAAGCGATGCCCTCGCAGGGCACACAGACTTCCTTTTGTTCCTATCTGTTGTATTTACTGTACACACACTGTGAAAATTTTGAACTTTTAGTCAGAGAAAGGAAATCCTAATATTGTGAGAATCATGAAAGGCTACATAATAAGGCTAATAAAAATAATCACATTTACTTACATTGCACTGTGTGTGCCTCACTGGTTTACAAGTGAAATGAATTGTATTTTCTATGCACCTTTCACTATGTCACCTTCACTCTGCCAGCTTATCTATCTCCATTCTGCACTAAAACTGATGTCCTTTCCTTTGGTTTTATGCACACGCATATTTCAGACACAAGTCAGCTGGCATGTATAGCATATAGATATTTAATCACCTTATTATTTTTAAGAGGCTTGCATACTTTAAAGCCTACACGTTTTACCCTGAAGGATTAATGGTGAAAGAAAAAAAATAAAAGAAAAAAAAATCACTGTAGAGCTGGAAACAGCTCTAGAAATTTGTTCTAAACTTCTTGTGGTGAAATTACAAGTTATTTCCAATGAAATATTGTAGAGGGAGCAGATTCTGAGGAGATCTTTCTTGTGCTGAATTTGACTTCAGAATAGCAATGACAGTGTCTGTCTTTAGGTGGTGAAGAGCTCTTATATCCAGGAGATATCCCAGATCCATCCAGAGGGCAGCATTGGCTGTTTCCCACTGCTTTGCATTCGTATCAAGATTCTGTTCTCACCTAATGAAGTTTCCAGGAATACCTTGAGATAGGTTTCCCGGCATGTCTTTAAAGAAATGACAGCTCATCCTTCCAAGAACTGACTATAACAAGGCTCTGAAAAAATGCTGTACTTTTTGCATTTCTTTCAGTGCAGAAACATTTATATTCAGCCACAGGACAGTCATTACAAAGGGAGTTCACCCTTGATAGCTCCACTAAGGATGGTGCTATCACATAATTGAAATGACCTTGATGAGCATTTCTAGTTTTGAGAAATGACCCAAATACCATTCCTTTCTGAGTGTGGAAATGCTCACTTCGCCTCATGTAGAAATATAAGGGGGTTGTGCTTAAAACAGTGCAGGGGGATACAGACTGGAGAAGGAGGTCCCTCAGCACAGGACCTGAATCTGCTCATTCGGAATCAAGAGTTATTTTGCCCCACATGTTGTTCCACCAGGGTATCTCATTCTCAAAGGCACTGCATATCTGACTATCTATAAACATCAATCTCAGATGCTACAGTAAAAAGCATGATACCACTTTATTCAGTGCTTAACTTCCCTGCTGAGAATACCGATGAAGCTGCTAATTAATTCTAATTGTCACAGGATTTCTGTGTGTATTTCCTAAATTTATAGCTGGTTGGCTTTTAAAATTGACATTTCATGAGATTAACCCATTTTCTTTCTAATTAATACTAATAGTGCAAAAAAAACCAACCAACCAAAAAAAACCACCCCTCCAAAAAAAAAACAACCAAACAACCCAACAACCAATGCATTTATCTATGAAGCAATTAGCCACACAAAATGATCCTTTACTTACAGACATGTTTATGTGTGATTGTGGCCATTATATTAATAGTATGCCTAATGCTGACCATGGAACATTTTAAGGAGGCAAACCAGCTTGTATTTCAATTATGTGCAGTCTTTTTCCAGTGCATATGTAACCTTCATAATCAATTTTAGCCAAGTGTTTGTATGAAGCTGAGATCCTTCTGTGAGAAACAATCTGAGGGAGAATATCCTCAGGTCCATGGCCTTGTTCCCTTCAGGTTCTCCCATCAAAAGCATGGGTTTGCTCCTCACAGCAAAGGTAGCAGGTAACCATCCACGGGTCAGTTTCACCACTCAGAGCTGGCTGATGCCATCTTACCTTGAAGAAGGTCATTGTGGATCCATCTCTAACAGCCCCGTACTCTATTTTGGTTTGCTTTGCCAAATCGTCAGCTGAATCAATGGGGGATTCCATCCTTTCTACCGTCAGGAATGCAGCCAGGTTGGCAGTATAGGATGAGATTATGATTAAGGTGAAAAACCACCATATTCCTCCAACTATTCTGGTGGAAAGAGCTTTGGGCATCAGTTCTGATCCTGTTACAATATCATCAAAACAATCACATTAAGGCGATGCTGAATGATGCCTTTTCTGATACCACAGACTATTTTTAGGCACAGAATGCTTTTATGAGCCATAGTACAATAAAATGATTCAAACAGTAATCTCACAGATGCACATCTAACATTTACAATGGTAACACACTGTGAAGGGGATGTATGCCATGGTACATGACAAATGGAATTATCCTTGGATCTAAACCCCATTACCTCTCTGAGCTAATGCTCATTGTGCCATTAACCTTGTAACCCAAACAAGCTGTACTAGTATTTTTTATCTGATTCCTGAATTTCTTTTTTGCCAGTATACCATAATCAATATTTTTAACTAGAGATCTTTAGCAGAATGCTGTTCTACTTACAAGCTGCCTAGGAGAAATGCCCTACAAGAAGGTGCTCTGTGTGCCTTCTATCCACATACCTAAGTAGGAACAAGGTGATCAATATGCTTCCAGCGTATTCATGAGCCTGCATGAACCTGAGCTCACTATCCAGAAAATGTCTTACTACAAAAGTGTGATTTATATTTTAAAATTCAGAGGGTGAATGGAAGTATGCTTTGGATGTACAGGGCAATGCAAAGTTTTGGACCCTGTATTTGACACTAGTTATCAATGAAAAGGTTTTAGCAGTTCTGCCTGCATGTCACACTGACAAGTATCAAAGTGATCTGCCATAGTCATAAAATCCCCTGGAATAACATGCTCCCAGCTTGGGTGGTAGGTGCACTAAAATGGCTTCTTAACAGCTCAGGCTGAATGTAAGTAAGCAACACAGGTACTCAAGCATTTTCACGCAAGTTTTATGTTTGTTTGTTTGTTTGTTTGTTTGTTTTGAGGCCTCCCCTCTGAACTTAGCTCATTAAATGGGATTTGGGGATCTGGTTTGACAAAATACTTAGACGTCTACCTGAATACTATTGATTTCAAAGTAAAAACATCAGCATAATTATTTTATTGATGAAAGATAAACTTTAGAATGTATTCTGCCTGTGAATGGAAACCTCAAATGGAAAACTTTTGATGTAACAAATATTTATGTTACTAGAAAGCGTCCTGATAATGCATTCTCTCTCCTGAACTATTTAATGATTTCTGGAAGAAATGTAAGCTGGTTATAGAAAATGTTTTCAGACTTTGCAAAAACTGTGAACATGACTTCTGGGGCAAAGACTGAAAGAGTAAGAAGCTTACAAACAGCTAGCAAACAGATTTAACTCAGCTTCATAAACATATAGATATGTCTCTTAAAGGTCAATGTTGAGCGTAGCCCTAGGGTTTCAGGAGGCTGACAGAACTGCCGAACTGCAAGAGCAGATGCTCTGCTTGCACAGCTCTAGTGCTGCATGCATTTCAAATTAGGCTAGCAGTCTAAAAGCAAAACCTCTTAAAATTTGATTCCAGTCTACCCATTTCTAGAGCTGTAGCTCTATTTGGGTTTGTGTTGTGGTGTTGTGGTTGTGTTCTATTCTTCCTCTGTCTTCCAGATAAGATTTTTTTAATAGCATGAAATCTTTTTTTTTATTATTTTATTTTTTTTTAAAGCATTGTTGCTCTCAGAATTAAGTCTGTATTTATCTTCAAACTGGGACTGAACTAAAAAAGCTGGCCTCTAGGAGTGCTGATTCAGACCATCCTGAAGGTGTAATGTCTTTAAAGCTCAGGTAGCTATACACATACAAATTCTGAACTTGGGCCCTGATGCAACACTTAGTATATATTGTATACAGACAAATAATCTAGCAAGCAACAAAGAAATCTGCCAGTGCCATTACATGGTGGCACAAACGAATATGTGGAGAAATCCTGCGTGCTGAATTTGTAGGGTGCCAAGGCTCCCATGATTTCCTCTGGCAAAAAGTTGTTTGTGAAAAAATAGCAGAACACATTCTGTGCAATTAAGCTCAAGACTCCTGGGTCTATTAATTATGCAGTGAGCATTGGTTTTTGCTTTTGGAAGGTGCTGAGCACGCTCTGTTCCCAGCAGAAACAAGCGGGCCCAGCATCTCTCTTGATCAGCTCCATGATTATTTCATTGTTCACCTTTCTGTGTTCCCTGACTGCAGCAGAGAGCATTAGTATAAGCTTCATGCCCCTGACTTTGTCCTAAGCACTTTCCTGAATTGAGTACTGCTGTTCTGCCCATCTGGCTGGAAGGGGGTTCTGGCGTGTAACATGCCTTCCTAAAAGCAGTGGTTTTTCTGAATGAATCTGATGAAATGTGACCCATTTGAATGCTTTCAGAGTATGCATAACATATTTGAGACTTTCAGGGGAAAACCGGGAGAAATAACATCTAAATAGGAATGTTGCTAGTTAGACTCAGGGTCAGGGACAATACTTGCTGAAGTCTCTCTAGTGCCTTTTTATGGCAGACATGACAGCCAATCCTGATCCAGACTTTGCTCACGCTCTGTAGAAAAGAGAAAGTCTGATCATCACATTTTAAAATTTAATAACAAGTGGCTTCCAATCAAGCATAGCAATCAGCTGCTGTCAACAAGAAAGAGTATAACAGTAGATGCAGACTCTCACAACCATTCACTCCGTGTTCAAGCTCTTCACATTAGCAATGATGCACTTACAATCACACGCACCACAAGTCTGTACATGGAAACATTTGTGTTGCCTTACAAATGTTTTTTCTTTCTTTCTTTCTCTTGTTTTGTTTCTATGCTTCTTGAAAGACAAGCAGAGTCTGGTTGGGGCTGACTGTCATGTACCCAAGGTAGTGGTAACGAGCAGACACTGCATCCCACAGTTTGCTGTGGATGATGGTAAACTCCAAAAAAGGCAGTACATTGAAACACAAAATCCTGGGGCACTTTCACACACACGGCAGTCACAGCTATATACACACACCTGCCTGATACTGTAAAACCTCAGTCTGCATCTCACTGATCAATTGGAAGGACAACAAAACAAAGGAGCAAAACAGGCTCTTCCTTCTGCTGGTCACCTTCAAAGCCATTTCTGTGAGGCTCTGAATGGCTTCAAAGTGCATTTCTAATCTGTCAATGCATTAGTGCACCAGTACAAGCAAGAGTATCCTAGATGCAAGACAAACTTCAATCTCTACCGTGTCCAGGAAAGATCCTCCTAATGTTTCTTTTACTGCTACTCATGTCTGTTAAAAAGGGAAGAATAAACTGTACCTGCATGAGTGTAGAGATGGTTTTACATTCCTTACTTAAATGCTTAGGAATCTAATACTGAAGCAAAATGGTATTTCTTCTGGATTGCCTTTTTGGTTGTTGTCGTGGGGTGGGTTTTTTTGGTTCAGCTTTGATTCAAGTGGAAATTTTGTCAGAAATTATTTTCATTCCTTTCAGTGAACCCCAGTTTTGGTGAATAGTAACTTAATTGGAAACCTTTGCATATATATGCCATAGCCAAATGTGGTCAGTACACATATCTCTTTTACTTCCCATATGAAGTGAGCTTCACTGCCTTTCCTTGTCAATTGTGTATAATGTCAGCTGTTTCCAAAATCATCAGCAACAGGGACTTGTGACTGTGTAAAGTTAATGCTTCTAGGGTTGGATTCGTTTACAGAAGGATGGGACTCATACCTGCAGAAAAGCCATAAAAAAAAGGTTTGGTTTTTGTTTTAAACAAAGCATTTGACAAGTGCCAACAAACTTAACAATTCTTCTGAAGAAATTACATTATCTGTTCTGTTTGGCAGTGAAAACATGTTTTTCTAGGGTTGCTAAGGCTGTTACTGATTCTACTGGGATGAAGCCCAATTGGGAAGATATTTTCCTGTTGCCAAACCTCTTAAATCAACAGACTGAACTTCATCACAAGGAACATCATATCTAATGAATATTTTCTGTTAAACTTCAGCAGCTCCAATGTGGACCTGTCTGCGTGCCTCTCACCAGACTTCCCCTCCTTATTCCTTCTGCATCCTTATCCTGGATTCTGCAGCTTCCCCTCCTCTGCCATCTCCCAGCTCCAGAGATATATTGCTTTCTTCCCTTCCTATATCGCTTTGGTTCTGAGATCAGGTTTTACAGTATAAGCTGTAATTACAGAGGGTGGAGTTTACCAGCACAGAAGCCCTTGAGCAGACTGTGGGACGTGTGCGATAACGAAGTGTAACCGATGTACCTTGCTGCATGAGAGCTCCAACTCCAAACCAGAAACTATTTAGTAAAGTAAAATTGTTTTCCACCACATCTGAGTCTGGGTTGCACGGGTGGGGGTTATACCATTCATAGGGTGTAAACCTGTGGCAGTTAACAAAAACAATCTGTAAACATCAAATAAAATACACACAGCGGCAGCAGACCTGAACAACGCACAAAATGAGGAGATTAATGAAGAAAACACGAAAAAAGGAAACCTCAGTGGGAAGGCCGTCTGCAGGATGTCCAGCAGCTGCCTCACACAAGCTGTGGAGCAGAATGTCACGGCCTCGCTCCTAGCACAGAACCTGCATCCTTACTTTTGCTGCTCCTTGGTCACTGCCCTCAAAGCTGAGGTTGCTGGAGAGGCTCGAATCCCCCAACACTTTGTGGTCGGTGTTGCTGGGAGGGCCCAACTCTCCCAGTGCTTTGCGGCCTACGTTGCTCCCAGGTAGACCTTCTAAAAGGTGGGGAGACTGCTTGAAGCTCCAGCACTGCTCCATGGCAGAGTATTTGGAGAATAGTGAAAGTAGAAAAGCCCTCTCAAGGCATCCATTTTCAGCTGGTCAAGATACTCATTGTGGAATGCCTTCACAAAGCTGCCCTGGCATCAGGGAAAATGGCTGCCAGCGGCTGGAAAGTGCTGTGGAGCAATTGCAGAGCCTGAAAGCCATAGGGTCATGCTGTGTGGAAAGAATCATGCGGGCGATTGCCTCAAATGGAAGGATTCTATTTTATTCCCCATGCACTGTGCTATAAATGCAAACTATGCCCATTCTGGTCTGCAATACACTTGGCAGAGTTACTTTAAAGACCACCCTTCCCCAGGGTGTCTTGCCTGCTGTTGTTTCCCTCTGCTGCATGGCTCGCTGCATACTTTTTCATGAAGTTTATGATTATAGCTTTAATTGACAATGTCATGCCAATACATTTTAATTACTGTTTCAACAATATAATTAAGCATTGAGTTTACGCACGGTTGCAAGCAGAGTGCCTTGCTTAGCTGAAGTAATGAACTCTGGTAGTCATGAACTCGCTTATTGAAACAGTATGCAGCTTAGGATGCCATTATCTGAGCAATATTACCATTACTAGTATCATAATGGTTAAAAATTGTAGCAGAAGACAGAGATTTCAGACTCAAGTTACAACTGTTCTGCATATACCAGTTAGAAGAGTCACCAAGTTCTGTTTCAGAAAGCCTCTGTAAAACAATGAAATGGTTCCCAGTTCAGTTTGTGCACACATTGGCAAAAACATGCTCCCACAGGATAGTGAGAAGATGTGCAAACAGCTCTAGGGCCTGACCAGGAGGGAGAACCCAGGCTGGGATGGGACAAACGTCTCCATCACCAAAACAGCCAAACAGTGGTTGCTAGAAAGCAACAATGAAATTCTGGCATCAAAACTCTTTCTGCCAAACTAGAAAGACTTTTTATCACAACAAACGTATAGTTTAATGTGATACTAGGTTTATATTACACTTCCATCTTAAAACAAAACAAAACAAAAAGGTGGTTTTCTTCTTGTGAACATCAAGAAGAGGCTGGATTACAGTTCTGCTCTATCTCATCACTCACTCAGGTCTGGTGTTTTTCTGGTCATTTCCCTTTAGTTTTCTCCTTCTTACAAACAACATGTTCAAGGTCACCTAAGCACCTTTTACATAGGGTGTGTGTGATTTTATTCACCTTAGTTACCTCAGTTCTACCATCAGCGATGCAAAGAGCACAGGGAGTTTGACATAGCAGTAAAGGGAAATCTTGGCAGTAAATGCCTTCTTCATTCAGTGTGCTTAGGAAGAGAGCTTTGTCGATCTGTAACCTTTAGCAGTGATAAAAATGTCAGTGTTTGAGTTTAAAAATTAATGTGATGATGACAGGGCTACAAAATACTCAAAGAGAAATGGTTCAGCTGCTGAAAAATCTGAAGAAAGAACAGGAAAATTACCTCAATCCATGAAGATATTCCCAAGTATTTGTCTTCTGTGAACTGATGTCAAAACACCATTAACTGTTTAATTTACTATGGCAGTGTTAAAAAGCAGATGATTCCTGAAATTCCTAAAACTGTTCTAGCCAATATTTACTGAAATATTTGATAAATCTTCCTATCAAGGAACAACAGCAGGACAAACTCCCAGCATGTGCTGTAGCTGTTAATGCATATGCGAGGGATCTCTTATAAATCCTTCAACTGCAAGGACAGCAAAACAAGCAAACCTTCAGTTTGTAATCACAGTCCAACATGAGACATGAATCTGTAGGGAAATCAGGCTTCTAGAACTTCTGCTTTTTAGAAAGATTTAGGGGGGAAAAAAAATAAAATAATAATAATAAAAAAAAACCACAGTAACACAGGCCAGAGCTACGAATTTACCCAAAAGCTGCGCTGTGATTTGGAGCAATATCTAACAGCCAAGAGAGTAAAGCAAACAGGTTTCATGTGATGATCTATGAGTACTGTGTTTCCATTTGATTTTTTCCCAGCCATATGTGTGTGAGTAGCAAGCAGGCAGAGAACCCTGAAGTTTATGTATTCTTTCTTGATGATGTCTTTTTAAAAAAAAAAACTAGAAGAGCTGAGGATAATTTGGGCTTTGTTTCCCATTCTGCCTCTTCTGAGGTGGAGAGGATGTTTTCAGTCTTGGGACACAACTACAATCTGTCATGATTGAGCAGATTTAATATTAGTCATGAGTGAGATCATGATTTGCGTACAGTAAGAGCTGTTATTTATGGTACAGTGAGCCACTGCAAGAGCTTGTGGGAAGCCATGACTAATTGTGTACAATCCCATCACTGCCAGGGCGGGATGAACTTTCTCTGTTATATAGGGCCAACACCAATAAGTTAACTCATGACCTCTTATCCTCTAATTCCTTTCTCCTTCTTCACATTCTCAGAAATTTAAACGAAAAAGTAAATCTCACAAAGTTCTGTACTCTGGCACTGGTATAGAAGCATGCAAACAACTGAAGCTTTCACATAGGCTGACCTTCGAGAACTAGGTTTGTTCAGTGGACCACAGAGAAATGCATGCCCAAGGTCAAACATTCTCAGCAGAACTATTCCTCTGAATGAAGGTTTCACAGTGTCTTTTGATTAGAAGAGTGAACTGGTGGAAAAGCAGTAAAAGCTCCATTTGGCATGGCTCATACACATGTGGAAGTCAGGCAGAATGTATTAGAATGAATGATTCAGATTACTGTCATTTTGATATTTGAAAGAGGGTTGTAAGTGCATATAATTGGAATGTATACATTATTGCTGACTCTTTAAAGTAGAATTTGCAATAAAAACTGCAGCTTTTCCATGTTACATTTGCTATGATGTGAAAAGATAGGTTTTCAATGATATATCCTTTCAGATCTTGTATTTTATAGTATCAGTGTTTTCTCAGTCAGTTTTCCCATATTAATGTAGAATACACTGGTATGTGCAAAAAAGTGCATAATGAAAGTGGAGGAAGCCTTAGTGATCCTAACTAAAATAATCCAAAAGTTAAATATCTGTGAAGCATTAATAAAACATCTATCTGCTAAATTATGAAAAGGAAAAAACGAAGGATAGGATGAGATTAAAAGATAGAGTAGGAAATGAAATTCCAATGTCATTATTTGAAGAAAGCAGCAATAACTATGCCAGTTAACAGAGATTATGTTTACTGAAAAGTATAGGAAAAAAAGATGTCTCCAATGACCAATTCCCTCTGACAAGATTCTAAGTTCATTTTCTTTCATGCTTGGCTTTCTCTTGCTCAAAGCCACAGAGCAACTGACTCATGGTCCACGGTCCCCGAGGCCATGACAAGTAGCTTGTAGCTGGCTTGTGAAACCGTATCAAATGTCTTGTGTTTTTAAAGTAAAGTTCAACGTTAAGGGCATAGGCTGCTCTGCTGGTCAAGTATAACTTGCGGTATGACTGCAGAACACTGGTCCAGAAGCTTTCAGGCACACTTTCAGTGCTTTGAGAATGCTATAAGCTTTAGATTCTTTCAGAAAAGTGGTGTTTGCTCATTTCCTACTGGTTTTGCATTGGGACTTCACTGGGAAACTGTAACTGACAGGCAGTGCAAGTTGCAGCTCAGGATGGCTATGGGAGAGAACATTGGTTATGTAGCTCATTGCAGAATATACCCCCAGGATCTTAGGTACATTATATTGTGTTTTCAAAGGGAAATGAGCTGAGCTAATTAGCATCTTTCAGCAAAAATATGTTCACGATCTCCTTTTTACCTTTTAACTGTATGCACTGTTAGTGGAAAAAAAAGAAGTGCTTACATGCAACTAATACCAACTACTTTTCAACAAGTACTGAGGTACTGCACATTGGCAAAGAAAGGCTGACCTATTTCATCACATATTTCTCTCCATTAAGCCCTTAAGGAAAGTTAAATCTTATCACATTGCAATATATTAAAGTGATAGCAGTGTTGATGTGCAAATACCAAGAGATTTTCTAAAACATTATGTTTTAGACTGGATAACACCCTTAGGACAGTATTATAGCTATTTTGCAAAGCCCATTCAACACCTATGGCATAAGATGTGCTTAATACTGATACTAAAACTACGTCTTTGACTTACCTTGCAATGACAAAGAGGACACAACTGACTCCGAGGCAGGCTAGGAGAACATACATCCAAATATCAGGAGAAAGAGGGTTTAAAAAAGAGAAAACACCAGGGTTTGTGCCATTGGGCTTCCGGTACAAGATACTGATTCCCAGCGTCATGAAGGGCTTGGAAAAATCAATTACCTTCTCTCTTACATAAGTAATAGTGAGAGGAGCAACTGCCAGATCAGCTTTCTGAAAACACAAATGGGAAAATACTCGTTCTTTTTCATGTTTTTGTGCAAACACGTTACTATTCCTTCCATTTTTTCCTTGGAGTATTAAAAAAGAAGCTAAATTTGGCTATAAAACTGAAATGCAAGAGAAAACTTAACAGTGCTAGGGTACTACTGGGTAGTAGTTTTTCACATTCTGATTGCTTTTTCTGTATGTGAGGGATCCTCATGGCTTCTGTATGTGGAAGGTCTGATCATGCTTGGGCACTTGGCCTCTGGAGAGACCCTGTCCTTGGGAGCTCAGTTCCTGGGAGGGTGATGATCACAGTTTGTCACAGGGCAGAGGCGTACTGTGAGTTCTGCCTTTGCCACAAGTGCTTGTAACCATGAGGTGGGCATAATCTGTGAGAACTCAGCACCCACTGACTCACTGCTCTTAGGGGTTTCCCTTAGCACCCAGCAACTGCCAGTTCCGATGTACTGCTGTGATTTCCTATTCTAATCAGAGGCAGTAGGACTGACCAGTGGCTCAAAAATCTATAAACTAATGCAAACATTTCAAGTAGACTGGCTTCACATAAAACACTGCAGTTGAAAGGAGAATAAAGAGAGAATGATTCAATCTTACATGATCTATGAGTTCTTTGACCATCCCATTCCACTCTCCTTTGTCATTCTGGGCTCCATATTTACCATCAGAAACTAGTTTGACCTCATAGATGAAGCCCAAAATATTTGACAGCTCCTTTAGCAAATCCAGGCAGTAACCCTCGAATCTGTCATTTCCATACAAAGGCTTGTCAGACTTCTTGTACATAACGTAGGGATCTTCCTATACAAAAACACAGCAGGAATAGCAATATAAATGAGATTTTTTTCAGAATATATCAGTTTCTCTAAATTGTGTGAATATTTTATTAATGTATTGCAATTAGATGGATACTGCTCATTTACTATGTCCATTAAAGACTACTCTAGGTATGTTAACAAAATCATGGAATCAATTAGTGATAAGCGTAAGGGCCCTAATTGTCAGTAGAACAGACCATTCATAGCTCCCATGGGCTTTAATTAAAGCAGCGCTTAGCAGCTTCAGAATTAGATTCAAGATCTGTACTCTACATGGTCCCACTCTGAGGAACACGAAGGAATATTGAAGGAGAAGCCTGAAAAATGGAAACAGAGTCATAAGCAGAACCTAAAATCTGACAATCTTCAAGAAAAAAAGATGCATCTTTACTGAAAAATCCTCTAACGTTTGGTATAGCTGTGAGCTGAACAGGCATTCAGAGGAGAAAAATAAAAACAGCATTGGTAGACTGCAAACTACTTTGTTTCTTTTCTTTCTAAAGGATTTTGGTTAGAAGAAGGTCTGGGGGAAAATGTTGCTGCAATTTAGTGTGGCAAAATGACCTCTGGCAATAGAAAAGAAGGATAGAGGGAGTTTCTGAGCTCTTCCCCTGAGGAGTTGGATGGGATAGTTGGGGGAAAAAAAGTGGCATAAATGACCACAGAGAAACTATGAGGCAGGGCAAATGACTGGAAAACATTTTCACATTTTCTATTTATCATAGTAAGGACATACTTCAATCAGTCTGTCCACTGTTTGTTGCTTTCTTTCATTCCTTTTCATTTAACTCTCAGTTAAAAAAAAAGGATGTACAAACAGTGGCTATAAAATTGAGCATTTATGTGTGTTAATTCTTTTGGGAAGAAAAGCATACAGCTTTCATTTCTGAAATACTGAAGAATTCTTTGGGGAAGAAAAGCATGCAGGGTTCATCTCTGAAATATTGAAGCAAGATAAACTGTTTTGAAGATAGAGGTATCCCAGAGTGGGGTATTTTGAGTCCACTGCATGGATGGATGACAACTTATGCTGGTTCTGAATCGACATCTGAAAATTTGCTTGAAAATGGAGTATTTTACCTGAATGTGTTTTAGTACAGAAGAAAGCAGCAGTGGAATGCAGGGCAGAGGTGTCACGGTGGCTGTGTAGAGCCCTGTGACATAACACCAGCCTGCAAACTGCACCATGAGTGGGGTCTCCAGATCTGCCCACCAAGACTTACCAAAATGGTCGTGACAATCAGTGTCCGGTTAGCCAATGAGTCTGTGATGTTGGTTGATCTGTCCTTGTTGCTGTCCGTCATGTTAAGGCCACTGTAGGAGTTCCACACGCCAATCTACACAGAAGAGAGCAGGTGAAAGTCTGCCCGGTCACAGTGAGCAGGCTGAGTGAATGCAGCATTTCTCTAAATGCTCATGGCCTGGTCAGTGTGCACTGGCTCTAGTCACCACAGAAAGAGACAGCAGCAGTACAAGATGCTAGAGAAGGGATATAGCTGTAGATCTGCAAAAGGCAGCAACATCGAATGGTTGATTGTCACATTTAGAAAACACAGGGAATGTACTGCTCTTTCAAAAGCACGTTGAACTTGATTCGCTGTAAGACTATAAGGTATGTCAATACAGCTGTGTATTAGCCAATTTTCTACAAAGTGGAAAATGTTGACTTCCTTTCCTGCTAAAAAATGTCAAACGTCTATTTTTATGGATTTTTTACTTCTGTAAATGGTAGAGATGAAACATACATCCAGACCTCTGTCTTCCAATGCAAGAGATTAAAAGCTTGAATAAATATGTTGAAGCAGATTGATGGATGCAGTGGCCTTTTGCTTCTGTTATGCCTTCATCAAGTTTAGTAAAGATTATTCTGTTATTTACTGACTACTATACATGACAGAGCTAGCAAGGTAAAAACATCTCACCCCCTGAAAAGTGCTTGTTTAGCAAATATACGTGACCAAAGGAAAAACTGATTTTTAATTCCTTTCTAACTCTGGATACAGTGAAGAATTGTGGTATTTATTGTCTGATCTGAAGCCTAAAGGGAAAGACCTCCATTATTTCAGTGGATTTAGACTTCCACTTTATGCTGACAGAAATTGTAACCTTGGAGTTGATCTATTCAGATAAGTATTTACTTAACAAAAATGCAGTCTGAAAGCATCTTCAGATTTTTTTACCTTTGGTTTACATATACAGTGTGGTTGAAGGCTGCTGTGAGCAAACCTCAGGCAAGGAGCTTGCTCAGCTTGGTTTGTATTTTGGACATTTGTGGAGAGCACCAGATAGATGGCTTGGGGGACTGACGTTGTTCATCCACTGAACCATTTGCACTGCTGTGCCACTCTGCCAGCATGTTTCAGCTCTACCCAGAAGAGATCAGCTTCCGGATTCTCCCTCCTGAGACTGCCCACAAAGCTGACAAGGAAGCCTAAGACACTATCCACTGACTTGTCCTGTCTAATGAAGGTCTATGCCCCCCATCAGAAGCTCCATCATCAGAGCCAGGCAGGACTCTTTTTCTTTGATCCTTAACCAAAGTAGATAATGCTTCTCCTTTGTACCAAACCCAGCAGATTAATTTGCGTCTGCTGATTATCAATTTGGGTTAATAAGTATATCATTTCATACAAACTTTGAGTTTGTGTCCCTGAGTGCCACTGCTCTTGTCTTTCATAAATATTTTTCTACAAAGGATGTTTGGGGATGGTCATGTTTTTGTTTTTGTTTTTGTTTTTCCCTTAAGTATTTTTAAAGCATTCCCTTTGTTTCCAAAATTAGATCATGTTGGGGAACTAATGTTGTATATTATGATAGTCTGCACCAGAAACATAGTAAATAACCAGTGCCCTTGAATTTGCACCAGGGTGCCTGAGTTAATCAAAAGCTCTTCTGCTTGTTGATACTGACTTGCTTTTATTGGCTGGCAGCAGGGAAGAGAACAACCATGAAGAACATGGAACAACACAGTCACAGTGCATACAAAATACACCAGGAGAACACTCTACATCTGAAAATAAGGATGACACCGGAGGTCAACCTTGTTTAGAGCAATGGAGGAGGTCGGAGGGGCACTGGAAGAATGAGGCCAAGGCAGTACATCACTATGGTGAATCCAGGAGATATATTGCAGTTTAGTGACAAGTTTGAGAGTTGTCATATGCCCTTCTCAGCAAATCTATGTTCTGAACCAATTGTAATTTGGTTTAAATAAATTCAGCATAACATGAAGTGCCTAGACTCAAAAGCCAGATTGGTTCAATACTGTTCTGCATGTCAGGTAGGATGATCTATTCACCGCGAATGAGGGAAATTGAGTTCTTTTGCCTTTGCCCCATTGATTGATATTAAAACAAAGGTACTAAGTATGTCCTTTACAAGAACAAGAAAAGAGCACTGTGGGATATTTTACACTGTTCTACTCCGTAGTATTAAAAAACATGAAAACAAAACTGTTTTTAATTGTGTTTGTGGGAGAGGAATTAATAAGAGCTGTACAAAAGAAATAAAAAAAGATATAATTCTAAGTGTTATAAGAAATTTTCAACTTGTGAATCCAAAACACTCTAAGCACAGTAAATGCAATTGTAATCTTCTCCTTACAGAATGGTGACTTTGTGGTACAGGGAACTGTGGGTTGTACCTCCAGCAGGGAACGGAACATGGAGCTGGTCTCTGACTCCCGTTTTGGTGCCTTATCCACCAGGCAGAGACATCCTATGTCAAAAGGGAACTGAAATTTGTGAATTTACATCTTTTATAAACAAGCTTAGTTCAAATTTCCATATGTTAGGGAATGACAGCACCCACTTAATCATCTATATTATTTTCTGTAAGGAGTTAATAACACACTTGTCGAAATTTTGAGTCAATGGTGCTAGAACATTGCCTGCACAGTATGTGTTCTTGTGGGAGGCAAAAATACTCCTTGCATGTTAAAACAGTCCTGCTGCTGGTGCTCATAGACATTTGAAATGTTGTAAATTTACCACTCATGGTAAATCCCAGGTGAATCAGAAAGGATAACTGCTGAGAAAAGGACTGCTTCACTGAAGCCAGGAGTTCTACTTAAAGAAGGGAAAGGCTCAGTTTCCAAGAAATAAAATAGTTGTGAAAAAAAAGTTCCTGATGAAAAGTCTGACTCCTGCCAAGGTCTTTTGATTATTTAGAACTACAGTATTTCAAGGTTGGGCAAAACTTATTGTGCTACAACAATTCACATTCTCAGATTGACTGTTGTCTCTAAACTGCAATTTAATTTGAGAGTTACTGTCAAAACCCAAAGGATGAGTCTGAAGACACAACCCAAAGGTTTTTTGCATCACCTGTCTGTGTACAAACCTTCTTCCACACTTTATATAAATGATTAGAAACCTCGCCAGCAGCCTTGGTACAGAGAAAAATAAACAGAGCACTTCATTAAAAATGAAAAGAGAATGAGTCTGGAGAGCTGTGTGGGAGCAATTACATTTAAAGTCTCAATTAACCCACAGCAAGCATCACAGAGTCAAGCCAGCGTACCCAGAGCAAGGGACAACGCAGCCTCTAGCTGACATGAGCTGGTGATACTCACCTTGGGGATCTGCAGACACCTGCAGTAGCTGCCCATTACAGTGCTCACTGGGAAACCATGCTGGCTGGCCAAGAGCATGGCGAGACCATCCCATCTCTCTCTGGGAACCCACAGACCCTACTGTTCTCCAATATAGCCCCTGGCTGGCATTGCTATGTTTTGCATGGTAGCAGCAGCTATTTTAGAGCAAAGCCAAAAACATCCTTGGCTATTGGCTTCATTTTGGACTCAAGGAGTTCTCTCCACCGTACCCCTCTTCATCTTCAGTACAATTTGTAAGTGGTAAATAAGGGAAATAAGAACTGTTGACTTCAAATTTGCTTTTCTGAGGCATGCTTCCTTGAACTTCCTCAAAGAACATGAATTTTATTATTTGACCTTTTTTTATTTGAATGCAGAACCAGTTTCTGGAATTGTACTATGCAGAATTTTCTGTTTTCAAACAAAGATGGCATAGCTAATTTAGTCACCTGTTCAGCATAACTCATCATAAGTGGTTAGAGAGGTAATGGCAGAACTACTGATCATGTTCAACAGCATGAAGATTTTTTACCATCTCAAAACTTTTTGAGGCTATTACTCCACCATCTGCTTTTCTCTCTCCCTCATGTCGCACCTTTTAAAAGCAGTACATGTAAGTCTGAGTTTTATGTATATATGTATATATACATACACGTATATATATAACCTTACCACTCTGTTACAGTGGCAGTGCGCACTTAGAATAATTCCTGACATTCAGTAGTAACATCACCAATTCAAAATCCCTATCCAATGCCTCAAAATGCAAGATACACATTTTAAAATAATTTTTAAAATCTTAGTAGCTCTGTTTAATGTCACAGTGTTTCTTTAACCCCAACTATAGGAGATTCAAGCTGAGGAAAATGGACTTTCCCATGCAACTGCCAAAGTAACTTTCTGTCATTGTTTTGCTTACCTTTTCTGTTCCTTCTTCCTTGAGACTAATGATGTCCAAATCAAAATCCTTCCGTAAGCCATCGGTTTTGTTGAAGGTTATGCGCCCTGTCAGGCCGTCCCACCGTGCCTGTGAAAACACAAAAACACTCTTCCATTTACCAGGAACTACTACTCTAAACCCACAACAAATATTGCATTTCGAATTAGATATGGCATTCAATCACTTCTAAATACTTTTTTTTTTAAACTAGACTGTTTTGTTATTTTGATTTAGAATAGCATCTTCCATTTGTTCTTTCATCTAGCTTCTCTTCAATATGTTTTATATTTTACTAGCAGACACAAATTTGTGACAGTCTGCATATGTATTGTCCTGCATATAAAAAAGCAGTGAGAAAAAAAAAGTACGTATCACATGCACCCAATGACTGGGCAGTTTTGCACTGCATAAGAGAAATCAAAAAGTTTTGTCTGAGCTTCAAGTCTGAATGTCAAAGTAAAGCGGTCTAAAACCAGTAACATCCCTGGAGTGATGCTGTTTACTTCAGCCCAGGACCTTGAAAATTTTCCATGAGGAAGGATAATGACTGGCAACAAGTACTGAATGGGCTCCCCAGGAGGTCTTTCTTGAGGGAAGGTAGCTAACCATTCCAAATCACCACAGCTTTCTAAACACTTCAGTTCTGCTTTTCCTAGTCTCATGTGCTGGTTCTGCTGGTGCTGCTTCTGCTACTCTGGGCCTGGAAAACTGGATTTTTCCAGGAAGAGAAAATGAAAGAAGGACTTTTGTCATAATAGTTTGGTTTCTTGGGCAGGTTACAGGTGAAGAAGATGCAAGTTCCCAAGTAAGTAAATGAGGTGTATAATTCCTAATTGTGATTCCTGCCTGTTTGTCACAGGTGTTGATGGTATGAGGAGGATGGCTCTAAAAGCAGGCTTTCAGGAAAAACAATCCAGTCATAGAGAGCTAATAAAAATTTTGTAGTGCAATGTATGCACGAGTATTATGTATTTGAAGTATAGCATAGAAGCTGGTGTAGATAGTATTTTGCCTGTTGTATCATAGCTAAGTGAATTCATGCTTTCCTTATTTTAAACATTAGCAGCAGGAGTAAATTAAAGTAACAGATTTTTTACATCAGGCTATAAAGCCATGATGATTCTCTGCACTGAGTAATGCTTCTTCTTTGTGGCAGGATCAGTGTCCAGAACTAACTTAGAATCATAGAATATCCCAATTTGGAAGGGGCCCTCAAGGGTCATAAACTCCAGCTCTGGGCTCCACACACCACCACCCAAAAATTAGACCATATGTCTGAAAGCATTGTCTAGATGCTTCTTAAACTGTGGCACTTGGGGCCATGCCCACCACCCTCTGGTGAAGAACCCCCTCTTAACCTTCAATTTGACACTCTCCTGAACTTAAACAGTGGAAGCTTTCTGTATCTTGTAGGTTTTCCAGAATGCTCACTTTTTTTTTCAAATTAGATTTATCTGTTTCACATAATCCCTCTTCTTCCCCCAAAGCTAATGATTAACTACAGAAGAAAGAAACTGATGCATTTCAAACTGCAGATGATTTTCATAACCTATTTTTGGGAACTCCCACATTGGATTAAGTTCTTCAAAGAAAAGCTTATGATAAATGATGGCAGTTTCTTCATGTGCATCAGCTGTTTCATTCTTAAATTACAAGCTTTTCCTCTGCACATTGATATTTGCTTCATTTAATTTGTTGTAGACAGATGACATAATGAAAGATGCATTAAAAATCATCATATTAAGAAAACGATGTCTCTCCTTCACATTAAATCTAAATTCCAGCTCTGAGTCTGCAAGGTTTAATCTCAGAGGCTGTGCTATCACCATGTGTCCAGGCAAGTCTAGAATCTAGATTAATCTAGAATTTTGTGTAAATAAATTGGGATTTCTAAGTATGATTAAGCAATAAAAGAAAAATAAACTACAGTGGCAGTGATCTTTCTATGAGACTTTCCACACTATTGACATGGGAATATGTGAAAACTTCAGCTATAAGCAGTGAAACACTTGAGGGTATTGTATGCTGTTATAATAGACCTGGCATAGGAAAAAGACAGAGGAATGCATTTTGTTATATATCTCCTTTCTACTCTGCCTTTTTATTACTTTGACATGACCCCCATCTCCTATTCGTAAAGATGGAACATTTTTTTAAATATGATCTTTAGCTATCCATTCCTCCTCAGAGGGCAATTTGTTTCTGTGAAATGTTCACATTTATTGATTACATATCAGGTGCTCTGCTTCTCAGCTAACGTGATATGATCTTCAATAAAGGCATAAAGGAGAAAATACATTAGATTTGGAAATAGTATCAGGAGCCTAAATCTCAGTTCTGCATGGTAAAATGCCAGCTCACTTTTGAAAGAGGTGTTCTCCATTAAAAAAAAGAACTCAAAAGATGTTACAAGCTGCACAGGTGTATACTTAAGCTTCAAGGTAGCAGATAAGTGCACATAGTCTTTGTTTACCTTAAGCATCACTTAGACCATTAAATAATCATTTGAATTATAAACAGGAATCAGGGACTCTTTCGCAGAGTTGACCTTCAATTCTGAAGGTGTTCTTCAGACCCTCTTTGTGAGACACAGGCTACATAAATTTTAAATTCCATATGAAATTCTCTTATAATCATATTTATTTTATTTACTCTAAATAAAACATTTGAGTTAGAGTCCAACAAGCATCATTTAATTTCTTACTTTGAGGCAGCTACGTCACATTTGTCTACAGCATGTCCAGACAGATGGGTGACATTTCTTTCCTGATCAGAAACCAAAGATTTCTTCAAGAACCAGAGAGAGGGATGAGCTAAGAACCTGCTGTCAATCCTGGGCCTTCTTCAGTCTATGACAGCACTTCCCAGTTTTTAATATGATTTGCGTCTTAAGGCACAATTGCTTCTTGCATGCCAAGAATCTGTAATGTATCAATTGCTCAGAAATCATATCCACGTCTAGGTGCCTGTCAGTTAAATCGAGTATATGAATGCCTATTAGTTATCATGTTCAGACAAACAGAATGGGCAGCATTTGCACAGTTCTCAGATGCAATTAACGGCTAGAAATGAAGCAGAACTTTTGGAATGGCCAGAAACTGCATGACTGTTGAACACAGCAGTGAGATTTCATGCTTTTATATGCAAGATTTATAGATGTTTTAATGTTTCTAGTGCCACTCTGTGTTAAATGTTACAGAATATAATAAAAGTTGAATCGGAACTTAATCAAGTAATTCATCAAAAGAAATTGCCTTTTTACACTCTGTCCTTGCTTTAATATTGTGAAACTGAGGGCACAATTTGACACTCTTACAGACAGAATGTATTTTTGATTTTTTTAGCATAACTTTGACTACAGCCTTCAGCTTAATTTAAAAATGTGATTTTCAGTCACTTTGTTTGTAACGTCCTTTGCTCGTCTTTGATCCTGTTTTTGCAAGGTTGCAAGCTGCCTCTGACAACAGAGCTGTGATGAGACACTGCTCTGATTGTTCAGCAGTTTGGTTCACAGCAGTAGGGTACTGTGCTGTTTAAGTGAGACTCAAAATAAGATCTCACAGCCTCCAATACTGTATCTTATCAGATAACTATAGTTCCTACATAAGATGTAAATATTTGATAACTTCCTACTGTTTATTAAACAAAACAGGGAATTAGCCCAATATGTTAGCTAGTCAATAAGCAAACCATACAGAACCATCAGCTATTCAGACTCTTTGTTACCAAGTATAGAAAAGACAGTGGATAGAAGAAATTACATCTAAATTTCTTACAGCTAAATCTTTAGACTTCTCCAGAAGCTGTAATGTGCCTGAAAAGGCAAGCTACACAAAGAAACCAAATAACTAAAACTGAAACTTTCTATTTAGAAGATTAAGATTATGGGTAAAATACAAAATGACATCTGGATTTAAATGTATAAATCACAGTATTGGTTTCTATATAAATATACAGATGGAAAATTACAACAAATGGAAAACTAATGTGACTCGACTTTTAAGAGCAAACACTCCAGAAGCTTGCAATCTATTCACACAACCATCATACGGTCTTTATATCAATTTCCGCTTCATCATCATGAGTCAATTACTATATTTCAACAAAAGCCAATCGATGGCTCAATCACAAAATCATTTCCAAACTCCCTAAGTTAAAACAACAGGTGCATTTCAGGTTCTGTTTATTTTATCTCCAATAGACCTCACAGATTTTCCGATTTCTGTTACCCAGATATAACTAGATCAGTAAATCATAATGCCTAGTGTATACGATGCATGGCTAGAATAAATATTCCTTTTTATGATATATCCATAATGGGATATAGACAGTTTTGCCAATGCTGTATTGCAGTACCCAGTAATATCAATCTTTCTCAGACAAATTGATTACCTTTTTGTGATCTTGTTTTTTCCTACTCAATAGATGTGTATCCAAACATTTTAGTTAAGTCTTTATCTCTCTGTGACATATTTACTTTTACCGAGCTCAGTGTTGAAGTGATAGATATCGGTTAATTTATTTCACATGCAATTCAGATTAGAGAATTTTATTTTCTTCAAGGCCATTTAAAAAGTGTTTGAAGTGACCTGGCAATACAGAAATGCACAATCTTATTCTAATTCTTAAAAATATCATGTTTAATCATGTTTCATAATGTGCATACATTTCCACTTTCCAATTTCCATTTAATATTCCACTTATTCCAATGACCTGTGAAAGAAAACAGTTTTTCTGAAGCAGTTCTTTGAACCTTTACTTGTAATTAATCAAGCAACTTCTTTACAGTTCCAAACTCAAGTTTTAGCTTTTTAATACAATCTAACTTCCAGTTTAATAATTCCCACTGTTCAGAAAATAAGATTCCTCCCCATTTTGAAGGCATGTCTGGAACTAAAGTTAGCAGAAAGCATCTCAGACACACATAGGCACCCTTCATATACAAACAAAACTGTGATTATAACTTAAGAAATTTTAAAAAGATATAGACAAAAGGAGGAGTTGATAAAATTTCTGAGTGAAAAGCTATCTTAGAGTGGTATTATTGAGGAAAATCAACTGTTCTGTTGCTCAGATCCAAGGAACTA